GCGGCGGCGGCGGCGGCGATGGGGTGCCTGCAGAGCGTGGCCTGCAAGGCGCGGGTGCGTCGGGAGCAGATCGTGGTGTCGGACGTGTCGGCCACCATCGAGCCGGCGGCCACCGCCATCGAGGAGAGCTCGCCGGTGGTGCTGCGGTACCGCACGCCCTACTTCCGCGCCTCGGCCCGCGTCCTCATGCCGCCCATCGCCCGGCGGCACACCTGGGTGGTGGGCTGGATCCAGGCCTGCAACCACATGGAGTTCTACAACACCTACAGCGACCTCGGCGTGTGAGCACCGGCGCCGCCGCCGGCACCGGGCTGGGCTGGGGGGGACGGCACCCGGCACCGCAACGGGGGGTGGGTGGGAAGGGAAGGGAGGCCGTGCGGCGGGCACCGGGCCGGGTACGGCACCGGCACCCCAGCAGCCGGCGCGGGCGCTGAGCTCCCCGGCACCGGGCGTCGCACCCCCACCTCGTGTCTGCACCTTCCCGCTCCCGGCACCGGCACCGGCCCCTTCAGACCTGAGGCCCGGGCAGCGCCCGCTCCTCTCGTCCCACAGCCCGGCTCCCGCTCCGGCCGGCTGGCCCGAAGCTCCTTCGTTCGAGGGCTCTGCAACCGCCGTTCGTAGCGTTTCTCCTGCCGCTGGGTCGCGAGCGCGGGCGCTGCTGTGGGGGATTTGCCCCCTCGGCTTGCGTTCAAAGGGGGAAGCTTTGCAGCGCTCGGCAGAAAAGGCTGCTGGATACCAGCTTTTCCCAAGGCCGAGGGCATAGATGACGCGGGGGGGATGCCGAGGGGCGAAGCTGTTGACCATGGCGCTGTGTCGTCTGCCCCCGTTTGAAAGGGGTGATGCGTGAGTTGGGCTGGAGATGGCCAGAGGGGTCTGTCCCGCAGCTCACCGTCGGGCTCCTGCCGCCGGTGCCCTGTGGTGCCGGCACGGGGCAGCAGGCAGGTCGGGGGAGCAGCGGGTCCTCATCCTGCCTGCCCGCATCCTTGTGTCACGGCAGGTTCGCCTGTACGTGGCACTGGAGCGCTGGGGGACGTTGGAGCAAGTGGAGGCCGTCACTTGTCAGGGGGATGGTGGCCGTGTGTCCCCCTGCCACTCACAGGCAGCTCCAGAGCCCAGATGCATCTGAAGCCAGAGCTCGGACTCGGTGGGAGGCTTCACCGAAGCTCCCTGCTTGTAATTGCCACGTGGCGATTGTCTCCCTTGCTGTAGCTGTGCGGTGTTGCTAACGTGGTCGGCAGCCAACATTTGGGCTGGAATTCCCCCCCCCCCAGCCGTATTGCAGGGATTTCATCGCACCAGCAGCGGGCGTAATTGTGGTATTTAATTATTGTATGTGCCTCTGTGCAGGCGTGTGTATTTAGAGGCATAAAAATCGCAGACTTTTATCGCAGGAGGGGGCTGCTGACAGGCTTGGCCAGTGCTGTGGTCGTGGTGCTGCAGCCGGTGGATGGGGAAGGCTGTTCTCCAGTGCGGGAGCTGATTAAGGAGAGAGTGACCCCAGAGAGACTCAGCAATGAGTTTTGGCCCACTTGGTTTGATGGCAGGTTAATTAAAATAGTGTTGTGCTGGCAGAGCAAAGGCTTCAGCTGGCCATGAGGGACTTGGCGAAGGAACCGAAGCCGAATTTGCTCTCGAAGGAGGTCCTTGAGAGCTTGCTGCAGGCTGGGAGAGGGTCCCCGTGCTGCTTGCCTCCCTGACTCTCTCTGGGCACTGTCGCTGCCATTTCCCTGCTAACCTGGCCTTTCTCTTCCCATTCACTAGGTCAAGCTGGGAGCTGCCCGACCTGCGAGAAGGAAGAGTAAAAGCCATCAGCGATTCGGATGGCGTGAGCTACCCCTGGTATGGAAACACCACAGAAACTGTGACCCTGGTTGGGCCCACTAACAAGATCTCCAGGTTCTCGGTGAGCATGAATGACAATTTCTACCCCAGTGTGACGTGGGCTGTCCCTGTGAGCAACAGTAACGTGCCGCTGCTGACCAGGATTAAAAGGGACCAGAGCTTTACCACGTGGCTGGTGGCCATGAACACCACCACCAAGGAAAAGATCATCCTGCAGACTATAAAGTGGAGGATGCGAGTGGACATTGAGGTTGATCCCATGCAGCTCCTGGGGCAGCGGGCACGGCTGGTGGGAAGGACTCAGCAGGAGCAGCCCCGGATCCTCAGCAGGATGGAGCCCATCCCACCAAACGCACTAGTGAAACCCAATGCCAACGATGCCCAAGTCCTCATGTGGAGACCCAAGCGAGGCCAGCCTATAGTCGTGATACCTCCCAAGTAAAGCGGCGCCGGGGCGCGCGTGTGAGGACCTGGGTGCTGTCAGCCTGCTGCAAACGAACGGGGTTTCTGAGCCAAAGCAGACCTCTTGGCTTCTCCTGCCTTTGTAGCTGTGGTTGGAAACGTGGCTCCTCCTTAGTCAGAAAGAGAGCCCGGCTGGCAGAGGGGCGCAGAAGAGAGATCGCTGAGATGGAGGATTTCCCAGGAAGTGGAATCGAGTTCTTCTAGGGGTTTGCGGCTGGCAAAGAGGCTGTCTGACCTAAACGACTCGTCTTTCCTTGCAGGGCAATGCAAGGAGCGTGAGTGTGATCGAACCGTGCCTGTGGCAAATGCTGCTTTCCACCCAACTGGAGGTAGAAGTGGAGACCGTGCCTGCTGGATGTGGAGGGCTCCTGCAGTGACCCTTCCCGCTGGGGCACGGGTGTCCCCGTGGTGTCTATACCTATGCATTTTGGATTGATAATCGACCCCTCGCCCTGCCTGCTGGGACTGGGCGGGAGGGCCTGTGAGTGGGTTGGGAGCTGGCAGTGCCAGGGTGCTGAGCCAGAGCCCGGTGCTGGCTGGTGCCACTGCCCGGGAGGGGTTTTTCACAGCCAAGGGGAAGCGGGACACGTTTTGCATGCGTCTGGGTGTGTTTGGAGTAGTTGTGAGTGTAGGAGATGCCATAGCTCTTTTCTGTCTTGGAGTGAGATCTAAGGGCAGGTTAGATGTCCTTTCGTTTTAAGGTGCACTAAATCTTTGCAGTTCCTCAACCTCCCCCTGCCCCCAAATCCCTCTGACCCTTCTTTTATGGAAGCAAAATCAATTCTCAGCAAGCGAGAAATTGGGAGCGGTTCCCGTTCACCCAGCCCAGGTGCTCGCTGACTGCGTGTGTGGGGTACCCAAACCAGCTTGGAGGTACCCCAGGACTCGCACGCTTCCCCTGCAGACCCAAGTTTCTTGCAAGAAGTTGGGTACTTGCTTGTTTTCCACGCAAATGCTGGTTCATGTGGAGACCCTCCTCCTCCTCAGCCACCCATGGAGCAGGGTGGCTACTGGCAGGGATGCCGGTGGAGGGGATGGCGTGCCTTGCGGTAACTCCTCAGGCTCTGCAGGGAAGGGGTTCTTCTCTCTGTGGGTTGGAGGCACGGATGTGAGCAGAGGCTGTGCAGGGCAGGCCAGGGTTTGCCTGGGAAGGAGGAGGCAAGCATGCTGCCTGGGTGCTGCCTCCTGCTGCTGCAGGTGCTTGGGGGATAACAGCGGGTTTTATTTGCCTTTCTCCTCGCCCCTCGCTGCCTGGATGGCTGGCATCATCTGGTCTGTGGGGCGGTGCGGTGCTGTGGGCTGCGACCTGCAGTTCCCACTATCTCGCCCTCAAGATGCAGCAGAGGCATAAGCCACGGCCGTGCTGCCAATGCCCCAGGTGCCCCATCGCTCCTGGGCATACGGTTACGGTTTTCGCTGCTTTCTCTGCTCCGTCCACTGCCCCAGCACGAGCCCTGCGGCTCCTCTGGCTCACACCCCTGCCTTCGCACCACGGGAGGTTTGCGCTGCCCTGGGGATGCGGGTAATTCCTGCTGGGAGGGTCCCATCTTCTGTCCTGCTACCAGAAGAGCCTGGGGAGGGTTGCCGTATTTGGCACTTCTGTGCAAAGCCTCTCCTGCGGTATTAGCAGCGCTGCCCTGAGACTGGCCGTCGGGACACCCAGCCCGGTGCTGCTTTGCTCCCCAGGGTGTGCTGGCACATCCCTGCGGCATCGCTCTGCAGAGCGTGGCTGAGCTCCTGCAAAGCTTCTTCAGCCATGGCTTGTGCTTTTCCAGGGTGGGATGTGCACCCCGGTCCCTGCTGGTGAAGGGGCTCCCTAGACCAAAAATCCCTGTGAAATCCCCGTGCTACTTACTATTCTCAGTAGTGTTTGCTGCTGATTCGATTCTTTATTTATTTTTTCCTTTGGGAGTGTTGCATTTTGACGCCTTGACGCACACTTCCCTGTGCCGGGGCCAGTGGTCCTGCTCCTCCCGCTCGGCCTCACGGTGGGCTGGGAACCTGCTGCTTTCGGTGCCTATGTCTGGGTTTTGCCAGGGGCTACAGCCTTGCAGCGAGGAAGGTTTGGAGGTAGAGGGGGCTCTGAACTTTGGTTTGCTGTGTTTTCTGGAACAAAACTACTGGGAGCTTGCTGGCATGGGAAGATGTCGTGCTCTTGTGAGACTCTGCCCATGGTTTTGTCCTGGTATGGGATTGACAGCTTTTGCTGTCACCAATGTTTCGTTTCTCAAAAAGCATGTGTGGAGAGGGTTTAGAAACTTTAAATGCAATTTTCCTTAACTTTTGGGGGAGGAAGAGGGGTAAGTACCTTTCAGTTTGAAATTAGGCAGATGTATACTTTGGACCCAGTGGGACAGAAATGTCTCTGGCAGCATCAGAGCTAAAAAGCCAGAGGAGGGGGTTCCGTAACAAACAGGTAGTCCCGAGATGGGTTCCCTGCTGGGAGAGGATGCTGTGTCCAGAGAGGCTGCACGAGCCAGCTCCCCAAAACCTACAGGGAAGGGCTGGGGCTGCGCTCAGGGGCTGCGTGCTGGCCGTCAGCCCAGGGAGCTGCTGTGGCACTGCTGCGGTGTCAACTGGCTGGGAGAGTGGAGATGCTGCTGCAGGGATGCTGTTGAATTCATTGCCGTCTTTTGGGATTTGCTGGCCGGCCAGAGCCTTGGCACATCGTCTGCTGTGACACTGAGACAGCAGTGGCCGCTGTTTCTGTCCATGCGTGTCTGCAACATCTCCAGGGAGGTGCTCGGTGCTGTCTGGTGCTGGTGTTGGGCTCAGTGCCTGGCCGTAGCTGTGTGCCTGAGCTCCAGGGCTGCCCCAGCCTGCAGGCAGGCTCTGGCTGAGCCCCTGGGCCATGCCCATGTTCATCTCTTCGGGCTTCTGCTGGGCTTCTGCGCCTGCTCCTTCTCTGACGGCTGGATTTGATTCACTTGACTCTGATGCGTGGGTTGTCTTCGTGGGCATTTCCCGGTTAAAAAAGGAAAAAAAAAAAGTTTGCAAAAATTGTTTGCAAAAATAATTTGCTAACAATGTTTGCAAAAATTTGCGGGCATTTTGCATGTTCGCAAAAGGTGCGTGTTCACACTTGGGTGGAGGTGCTGGGTGAGTGTCTGCCAGTAGCACTGACCGGTGGAGCCTGGGTGCAGGGCTCATGATGCTGAAGTGAAGGGGAGGGAGGGAGGGAGGCGGTGGATGAGAGCTCCTGCGTGCAAGTCCGGGTTTGGCTCACGTCCCCATGGCCCGCAGCCGTACTGATGGGGACCCTGAGTGGGCGCCCCAGCTGCAGAGCCCACGCCAGGGACGAGCACCTGGACCCCCGGGCTCGGTTGTCCAACCGCCCTGCGGGACCCCTTCCTTGTGCCCCCCTTTTGCACCAGCACCCCGTTATCTCAGGGAGGGGCAGGTCATGGAAATGCCCACCCACACACTCCCCTTGCCCTGAGTCTTGGGGTGCCCCGTCCCCTCCGTCCTTGTCTTCGGGTCACTTATTTATTTATCTATCTATCTATTTATCTATTTATTTATTTATTTATTTATTTATTTAAGGTTTAAGTTATTTATTGGTATTTATTGATGGCTGGAAGTTGGGGGGGGGTGTCATTTCTGCTGCATGGTGGGGGCAGCTGGGTCCTCCCCTGCCCAGCCCCCTGCATTTTGGGGTGCTGCCACGTTTGGGAGCGCCGCTGGGAAGGGATCTTGTGGGCCCCTGCGCTCCCATCCCCTTTCGGAGCTGGGGGGTAGAAAGGAAGGGGAATAATGTTGGTGCCTGCAGGGAGGACACCCGGTGCCTGTCCCCTTCCCGCAGAAGCTCAAAGCCCTCCGTGCCCCCTCCCCAGGCGCTGTGCTCCCTCCCGTGCCCGTCCGTATTTATTGACCCGGCCTCCTGGCATTTCTCTGTTCCACTCCTGCTGGATTTGCTGTTGCCAATTTCCGGAGATGGTGAGAAGAGCCAGGACGTGTGGGTGTTGCTATGGAGAAAAGACCAAACCAGGTATTCTGCTGCCACGTGGGGAAAATCGGAAGGAGAAGAGGAAAGCTGGTTTTGCAGAGTGCCTTAAACACAAATGACTTTACTGAGTAGGGGGCTTGGACTTCTGTCTCTGGATGTTATTACCAACTCAAACAGATGTTGCATTTCACTTCTCTGGGATTAAAAGAAAACCACTTGAGCTGTACTGGAACCAAACCCTGTGTTTGCTTGAGTCCGTCTGGCTGGCTTGCACCTCTGGGGCCGTGGTGGTGTGGGGGAGCAAGAAGATATTCATGGGCTTTCAGCCGTCAGCCCCTGCCTGGCTCAGTGGCAGGACCAGCAGCTGCCCCTGCTGGCTTTAAGCCCTGGGTCTGGTGATGGGAGTCGTTTCCCCTTGTCCTGACTTGCAAGTGGCTTCTCTGGTGTCCCGGAGAGGTTGTGCTTGTCCTGCTGTGCCCCTTCCTCGGGGATGCTCAGAGCAGCCTGTTTGCACAAAGCTTGCTGTGGGGCTGTGTCCTCAAGCTTCCAGAAAATTGGGCAGTTGGCTGGAAAGCTTGTGGAGGGGCAGACAGCCCTTTTTTCCCTTAGGAAACCAGATCAAGGCCAGGGCTTTGTGCTGAGGGACTGGCAAGAAACCCAGGAGTTCATGCAGCCCAGCTGTGGGGAACTAGGGAAGCTGCCAACCTTGATAAGGCTGAAAAAACTACACAGAAAAGGGATGGTTCCCCTTTGAAACTGCAGATCTCCCTCCCACTTCTTGTAGAGTGAAAGAAGGGAACAAGAGTCAACCCAGAGACCAGGGTTTTTCTTATAGTAAAAATAATACATGGGGATAATGCAGAATTTCATAACGAAGGTTCATTTAAAAGTCATTTGGGGAAAAATACAAATACTCACTGTATAGTTCCTGGAGGCAATTAAATATTAATATATACATTTTTTTTTGATAACAAAAGAGGGAGGTCTCTGAAATGCAGCCGTGTTTGGGGAGAGATGTCCTCAGCAGGGAGTCCTGGCCTGCACACTGGGGTGAAGGAGGACAATGATGGGTGCTGGGAGAAGCCAGTGGCTCTGGACATTGTCCGAGGACCGATGGGCCACATCCCAGGTGAGTGTGGGTGCTGCTCTAGGCTTAGGCCCTGCAGGATGCTGGAGGGTAGCTCATTGCATCCAGTGCATTGCCTACCACGAACATCAACCCTACTAGTCCCTGCTTGCTGTGGGGTGCATTTGTGCCGAGCCAGCCAATTTCTTTAACAGCTGCTCGTTTTGAGTGTTGCTGATTGTGCTGGGCACCAAGAGATGCTGGCAGGCAGCCTATGAGCTATTCGGTAAGCTGGTTTCTTTCCTAGTGTTATATTAAAGCATCGCTCATCTCCTGACAGATCCCCAAGATGTAGGTGCAGAGGAGCAGGGGGGAGTTTGCATCGCTTGTATCATGCCCGCTTGTGCCCTGGGAAGCAGGGTAGGACTCCCGACACTGCAGCTAATGGCAGGCCATGCTGAGGGATGTTCTCTGAGCAGACATGGCCTCCTTCCCACCATTGAGGCTCTGCTGCAAAGCAGGGGCAGCAGAACTGCCCTATTTTGAGATGATGTGCCCTATGTTTCCAAAGTGCCTTATTTACGGAGCAAGAACGGGGTCGCTCTGTGCCACTGCCACCCACCCAGGAGCATGGGCACACATCCCAGCTGCACAGCCACAGGGAACAAAGTAAATCATGCAGGGTGCCGTGGACGCCAGCAGAGGCAGACGAGGGATACTGCAAGTAGTACTGAAGATCAGTTTATTTGCTCTATTCCCTCTTCCATAAAACCTGAAAACAACTTCCAGCAAGAGATGAGAAAGCAGTTAAGAAGTGAGAGATTTGGCTCTGCAGCTCCTCCCCACGCACGAGACCAGACAAAGGTGTTAATGCGTTAGTGATGGCTGCTCCAAAAGGCACGCAGCAGTTTGGAGCCCCTGAAGCTCCCTGATGGGAGGCGTGTGAGCCCACCAAGACACCCCTCTGGGGCCTGGCTGCTGACACCACACCTCTCACTCTGCCTCTAGGAAGAGCCGAACAGGAGAGACTCCACAGTGCAAGCCTGGGAGCCCTGACTGGTCTGCTAACTGCTTCCTTGTGGGGCTGATTCAAGGCAAGAAAACACCCAGGGTTTTAGTTTTGAGGGGAAGTGGGGGATGAAAGGGATGGGGAGGATTGGTTTAGTATTGCGATGCACCATCAGGGTGATGGTATGAGGCTGCTGATCACATGCCGCCAGGGAGGCCAGAGCTGGGCACAGGGAAGGCTCCTGATGTGGAACGACCTGCAGCCCGGCAGGATGGATGGGCAGACCCATTCACTCCGGCTGCGGGGTGTAACGCAGGTACTTCTTGCCCGATGGGAGGTCCTTCGTGAAGACTCCTTTGGGAAAGAGCTTCTTGGCTTCCTCGTCAGGTAAGGTGGGCACAACCATGACGCTGTCACCAGGCTGGGGAGCAGACGAGAACTGTGAGAGCTGGCAGGCTTGGATGCAGGTGGCACGTCCCTGCTGGCAGGTGACACTGCCTCCCCGTGAACACTTGGCCCCAGCACCCCAGGCATGTTCACTGCAGCTCTGCCTGGAGCCGGCAGTGAGGACTGACTGGGAGCTACACCAGGAGGCGTGGGTGATGTCGAAAGGGAGAGCTGTGCCATCTGCCAGCCCTGCCAACGGGATCCCACAGCCCAACTTCCCCACAGCACTCCCACGGGAACAGGGAGTAACGAGAGGGGAATTTGGGCATCTCTACAATGCAGGAGGGAGCACAGCTTGCCTGAGTTTGCTCATCCATTCCTATTGCTCAGACACCCCTGGACAGGGGATGCTGATTCCCCTTTGGCGTGCTAAGCCCCCAGGGAAAGGTGTGCTTCCCTGGGAGGTGGGCTGGTGGGTGAGCTGGCCCCACACCACTGGGAGCTTATGCTGCAGGAGACAGGAGTCTTCAGAGGCAAGGCTGCCTCCACACTGTGCTTTGCCCCAGGAAGCGAAGGTGCAGTTTGTTGTGCACTCACCACACAGACACTGGTGTTGAGGGGTACTGATAGCCCGAGTTACTCAACCTCTGAGGCTTGTGCCTATGGGGCCTTCCTGCCCAGATGGAGCGGGTGGGTGTTTGGGACAATGCTCTGGGAGCCTGGTCCTGTCTCATAACACAGTAGGACTTCTCCAGGTCACCCTCTAACAGCAGGAGTGTGTCCTCTGGCTTCAGACAGGCAGGCTTCCCCAGGAAAAGCTGTCAAAGCCAGTGGCAGGACAGGTCCAGGAGCTAAGCAGCTCTGCTGGGCTGAGGAAACACTGGGTAGCTAAAGCAGCCAGACTGTGCTGCTTGTTCTTGCTTTATCTTGGCTGCCCAAACTGTTTTGGGGAGTTTTAAATAATGCTACCAAACAGGGATGGCTACAACTAAGCAACTTCAACTAGTAATTTTCCACAAGGATAGGACTCAGCTGTGTATGTGCTGGGCAAAGTGGGGCCCATACTGGCCCTTCCTGGCTCAAAGGCAGGCGAGCAGGGAGCTGGCCCAGGCAGTGGTGCCCCATGCTTGCTGCTTTGCTGGCTTTGGGTGGAATTTGGCACACTGACACTTGGTAATGCCCTTCCTTATCATAGACAACAAGGGCAGGACCTGCCCTGACCCAAAGCTCAAGTACTGATAGCCAGAAGGGCCAAGGCCAGCATTTGCTGGCACCAGGGACTGAGGGCAGGGAAAGGAGGTTCCTATGGCTGACTCCAGACTGCAACAGCCCTGGGGCCTGGGCTGAGATCCAACTCATATCCCAGGACCTCAGCAGCTTTCCCCAACCTGTGGGTATCCCTCGAAGGGAGGCTGTTCGGCGTTTCAATGCATGTTTTCAGTGCCTGGCTGTGAGCTTTGCTCCCTTCCTCACCTTCCAGTCCACAGGGGTAGCGACCTTCTTGTACGCCGTCAGCTGCAGGGAGTCCACCACTCTCAGGATCTCATCAAAGTTTCTCCCAGTGGTGGCTGGGTACAGGATGGAGAGTTTCAGCTTCTTATCCGGGCCAAAAACAAACACCTGAGCACAGGGAGACAGGGTCAGGGGCTGGGCAGAAGGTGTTTGTCCAACTGCTCTGCTGGAGCTGCTCAGCCCTGCTGCTCCTCCCTTTCCTGGGGGGTAGCTTGCTTGATCGCAGGTGTCTGGACAGGGGAGATGCCATGGTGGGGATTTCCTACAGCAACAAGTGATGCTGAAGCACAGGGAACATGGTGTTTGCTCTGGGAGCTCCTGTTTCCAATGCCAGCTTGTTTTGCTACTTGAAATGTTTCCTCCCCTTGACCTGTGCCCTTCTAATGCAGGCACAGGAGGACAGAGGGGAAGTCCAGCAGATCACACACTTTTGTCCCCTCTGTGTTAGGATGGGCACAACCAGGATGAACTGGCGGCAATAGCAAGATGAAGCTGTTGCCAGAAGGCCAGTGCTGCACCAGCCTATTCCTGTACCACAACCCATGAATCTAGCCCAAGGAAGTCAACCTAGCTCCTGAAGATAGTCATGTCCATTCAGGTAAGCTGCCCCCATCTTCAAGCCCAGCCCCATGGACACAGGGCAGGATGGCAGGCAATGACTACTGCCGAGAAGGCTACCATCCAGCAGTGCTCCAGGGCCAGCTACTCACCACGCGAGCCGTCAGGGGCATGCCATCCTTGTCCCGCTCATCTGGGTCCAGCATGCCCAGCTTGACAGCAAGCTCCCGGTTCGCATCAGCAATGATGGGGAAGGGGAGTTTCTCCTCGGGTTGTTCCCCATTGTATGCGTTGATGTCCTGCAGAGACAAAACCATCAGCATGCTCATGCTCCCTGTTGTGGGTACCACTGTGGGAGACATAGAGGCCAGGCAGGGAGACCTCTGTGCAGGCTTTACATGTGTGGGGCAAGCTCCTGCAGAAAGGCCATACAGAAACATGTTCAGCAGCTGCCCTACAGGAGCTTGTGACTTGCTTGGCCCCAAGGCCTCAGGCTGGGGCAGCACAGCCAGGGGCTCATGGCCTTCCATGAAGTTCCTCTGCTTCCAGAAACCAGAGAAACGAGAAACCTGCATGCCAGGCCAGACTCTGCTTTGTTCTTAGAGGTTAGTTGTTAGGCTGCCTATGCTCACACTCTGTCGTTCACCTCTGGAATTGTCTGTGGACCAGCTGCTTTGCCCAGGCAGTGGGTACGGAGAAATAGGGAAGTCCTGCTCATGCTAGTGACACAGGGAGATTTACCTGCCCTTCCCTGAGAAGAGAGGTGTCCCTCTTCTAACCCTCTCACAGTAAGTGATCTAGCACTACTGACAGACGGATTGGTGTCACACCTGAACTGGACTGTGCTCTTAAGGAAAAGTTTCTCTAGTGGCAGAGCAAACCAGCAACTCTACAGCTAATAAAGGTCAAGTGTCGAACACTTCACAGGTCTTGTGCGAGGGACCAGCTCCATTCTGCACATCACTCCTAGCTTACTTAACTAAAGGGTCTTGAAAACAGAGTGAAAGTCTGAGTGCAGGTGCTGGGACACTGCACACTCCTTTCTGAACCATAGTTGGAACAGAAGAGAAAACCATCCCCGTCCACAGCTGTGCAGGCTTTCCCTTGTGACCACAGTTTATGAGGTTGCTCCCTGTGCTAGTCCAAACTTGACCTGCTTCATGGTGAAACTGTATTTTGGGTGTCTCCAAATCTGGTCTGGACTTGGTCAAAGCATTCAAGTTATCCTTGCTGTTTGCGGTACCACCCGTATGGGTCATGCTGAGCCACAGCAGGGTTGGGAGGAGCCAGCTCAAGGCAGCACAAAGAGAACAGCTGCCAGCTTTAAAGCAAGTTTAATCCAAGGTTTCTGCCCCAGAACAAAGCTGCCTGTTCCTTCCATCCTCCTTATGCTACAAGGGGACAAAACTGCCTCCAGCGCTGACGCAAGCCTCCCACATACCACTGTGGTGCGTTATCAGCTGAGCTGATAATCTGAATGTACAAGTCTCTCTGCCTTCCCTGGGCTTTGAATGTGGGGAACAGGCTGTGTCCTGCTCAGAAGGAACTCGGGGAGGGCAGGGTTGGAAATGCTGCCCCTTGGCACTACCCACTGCTGCTCAGAGCATGACAGAGGCAGCAAGAGCAAGCAGGCCCTGCACCACTCCTCAGCCCTCCTAGGCTGACAGTGGTGACAGGGGCTGTAACCCTGCCCCGGCTGCTCAGGATGCTGCAAACAGGTCAAGTGGCGCACACGTGGCAAGATGTTTCCTTTCCAGCTTTTCTCTTCGCTTGTTTTCTCCCCAGGGCTTTCTGAGTCAGCACTACACTGCAAAAAAAGGGGCTGTTTATCTCAGCTGCATTGTGGTCAGGCCTGCCTTGGTAGGAAGGAATCGGTTCTATTCCCCTGCAGACCTGCCTTGTCAAAGCAGAGAGGGAAGGAAAGCAGAGCTGAGGAGGCCAGCCCAACCAAAATGCTTCTGAATGCCCCACAGAGTCACAGGAGGCTGTAGATGAAGGTCAGACAGTGACCCCCCCCCCCCCCCCCCCCCTTCAGAGTGGGGGCTGGAGGATGAAGAGAGCTTCTGAGAAGCAATATCCAAATCCTGTGGACTGTAACTCGTTCCAAAATGCATGCAACTTCATGACCTGGGGTCCTCTGTACAAAACAGCCTCACAAACCCCACCCTATTTTGCAATAAGATACCCAAGACTCACTCACTTCCCTATGAACTATTTTTCTTTCCAGAGCCCAAGCTGAAACCAGACATCACTGGAGTGATTTATTCAGCCCTGACTCACCAAGGCAAAGGCATCAGTGGCCAAAGAGAGCATTGAAACCTCCTCTGACATGCACAGCACATCCCAGTCATCCCTGCTTAAGGAGCTTATGCATTCATCCAACCCTTGGAGAAGCAGTGGACAGACTGGGAGGTAGGAGGGTGGGATCAATCCCTGGCTGAGCTACAGGCTTGCTCCTGGAGCAAGCATCTGGGTCTTGGCTAGGGATGGCTAAGAACAGCAGTGACATCTTTGGCTGGGAAAGCAGAGCTGAGCAAAGTGACATGAGAATTATTGGCTATACTCTGGTCCTACCTGGTCCCACCTTTCCAGGCCCCATCTGCCCACTGAAATTTGGCAGCAAAGCAAGCAGAAGGTTCTTTGTTGTTTCATGCAGGATTTCAGCCATCCCTCCTGCCCACTTGCTTCCTCACAGGCTGTGCTTCAGGTAAAAACAGCTTCATCCTCTCACTACTGCTAGGAGCTTCATCCAAAGAGAAAGCATAGGTATGTAAAAGAACATTGCAGAGAGAGGTCTGCCCAAAGTTTTGCTCACTCCTAGGAATTCTCTCTAAGTTAAGATCTAGTGAAGGGAACTGCAGTTTCTACATCTCAATCTAGCATTAATGAAGACTGCTTTTATCCAGACAGGCGGCTTCTACCAAGGCTTGGTATCTCTGTTTAAGGTCTTTTTTTTCCCCCATGGCTGGGCAAGAGAACCTTTGGTGCCCCTGGTCTCAGACTTGCAGCAGGCCCTAACACTTGCCTTCCCAGTTCAGCTCTTTAGCTCTCTGCGTTATCTGAAATTCTTCTCTGCTTTGCCAAGGACAAAGGAAAAGGATCACATGTATAAGCAAGGTCTAAGAGCCAAGCAATCACATCCCTGTCCTCTCTTATGTCCTCCACGATGCATGCATACTGTGTTCATTGCTCCTCCACGCTCCCCACACCACTCATGGTGTCACAGCCTGACACGTCCTCCCATTCCCAGGCTGAAGAGCCCCAGTTGCTCTGCACTGAAGCAAACCTCTTTCCTCCTCTGCACCTCTTCTTGTTCCTCTGTAGTGTGCGAGATGGGCAGATTTCAAACACAGGCTGCATGGAAGACTCCAGTCTGCTATGGATTTGTCCTCACCAGTTGGATCTTTTGCTCTGGAGGACTTCCACAGTTTTGTAGGTTTTTTTGACAGATGCTGAGCTGACATTTCCAAACCATTGTCTCTGAGGCCTCTTCCAGCCTGACAGAAAGCTCACCGCAGTTTCAACTGCTGTCCTCTGCCCTTCTCCACGTTTGTTCTAGAAGGTTTTCCAAAAGTGCTACTCTGCCTCCCATCCGTCAGCATTGAGAGGCTGTTCTGCAGCTTCTGGTTTTATGTGAGGTTGCGCTGAATAATTCCACAGCATCAGCAAAGTCAGCTTGTTGTTTACCTCTTTTCCAGATCACCTGAGTATGCTGAACCCCACACATCCGTGCAGACCCTCGAGGGAGCTCACTGCTTCCCTCCCTTGACACAATTTATTGCTTCCTCCTGTCTCCCTGCAGAAAAGAGCCTGCCCTTCACAGAGCTGATTTTGTTGAAAAGCTTCTTGGAAATTCAAGGACTTTGTACAAGTCAGCAATACTCTATAGTTATTCAGAGGGCTTTGGCCAACCAGGAGATGAGACTGCCTTACAAAAGCACAACCCAGGCTTTCTGTTATATTTAATGGGATGTTATCTGCTAATTTGACTGGTAGTTTCTGCCAGTTTGACCAGCACAGAAATGACATTTACTGGTGTGGGATCTGTACACTGTTTTTCCCAGGCCCTTCTGAGGCTTGGTGGGACATTGGCCGTGCATGGCAGGTACGGAGGTCAATTTAAGCAATAAGGCAATTATGTAATTTCTAAAGCCAGTCAGCCATGAAACAATGTTTGAGTGTGGAAATTTCTCACTGTTACTACTTCTTAATGCATGCATGTCTCACCCCTGGAAAATGCATGAGAACATTCCTCATTTTAACAGCAAAGAAAGAGGCCCAGCAAAGAAAGTTCACCCAGGGATTTTTACACTCTGGCCCTATCTGTCCGAAATGCTCCTTTTACACCCCCACCACCTATGAGCCCTGGAGTCATACTCCCTGGCAGCACACTATTGCCGAGACTGCATTTGAACTTCTTCATTAGTTCCTTTTATGTTAGTTCAGCAAGCTGTTTTGTTCCAATCTTTTTTTATACTCCCTCATGATGGTTTTATATTGAATATTCTCCTGTTTGTGGTTTTACGTTTAATATGTTTGTTCTCTTTTTCCTGCCTGGGCGTGAATCGCACCCTTTGAAGACTGCCTGTTCCCTTCTAATGCCTCCTTTCCTTTCCTGTTTTATTACCGGACTTTTTGAGCGTCTGTGGATAGACTGCCTTCCTCTGAGCTTTTAGCACCACCTTCACATATGTTTTACCCTTTCAGGTGTTGGTAGGAGAGCAGTAATACTGTTTTCCTCTTGTGTCAAAGTGTCAGTGCATAGAGTGCCCTGGACTTTGTGGAGCACTTCATGAAGATGAAGCAGACCTTCCTGTTCCTGCTCTGAATTTTAACACCTCCCATCCTACACACTTTGGGATTCGAGATATGTAGTTCCAAGCCTGTGCTCTGTTCTGTCTGGGCTTTTCCTCTGGCCTTCAGAGCAAGGCAGCAGTGCAAGCTCCCCTTGCGCCTCCCCATGCCCCGTACCTTGCTCCAGGAGAGGTGGTCTTGGACACTGTCAATGGAGAGCGCGATCATCTTCACATTGCGCTTGCTGAACTCAGGCGCCAGCTTCGCTGCCCGGCCAAGCTCTGTGGTGCAGACGGGTGTGAAGTCCCGTGGGTGGGAGAAGAGAATGCCCCATCTGAAAGAAGAGGGCAGGAGATGGCGTTAGGGTGAGATGTCGTTCCAGTTTGTACTTCAGGCAAAAACTTGTACGGATTGCACTGGATGGAGACTAGTGCGGGAACGGCTCATCTCTCTAAGTGGAAATCCTGTCCTGGGAACTCTTCCTTCGCTATCGCTAGAAGCCTTCAAGAGACGAGCCCTGTTCATCATGCTCTGAGAAACTCCCTGCACCTCACTCCCTCTCTCCCTCCAGGATCCCAGAGGGGATGCTGGAATAGCCCACAGTTCTTGATGTGGAGGTAGACACCATGCCATGTGAGGACATTTGGGGGAGCCACATGTACACTCTGTACCCTAGAGACCACAGGTGCGAGGGGATGTAGACGCCAACCTGCCAGCCACGTTATTTGCAGAGATCGTTACTGATTTACAAGGCTATTCACTATCCTGCCATCACCTCATCAACTACTGTGAGGAGAAACACCCATGTATAGCATGCAACTTAAAAGAATGGGATAGGACCAAACCTTAACCCAACCACTGCCATGAGCTGCTGTCGTGGTTTAACCCCAGCCAGCAACTAAGCACCACGCAGCCGCTCACTCACTCCCCCCCCATCCAGTGGGATGGGGGAGAAAATCAGGAAAAGAAGTAAAACTCCTGGGTTGAGATAAGAACGATTTAATAGAACAGAAAAGAAGAGACTAATAATGATAATGATAACACTAATAAAATGACAACAGTAGTAATAAAAGGATTGGAATGTACAAATGATGCGCAGGGCAATTGCTCCCCCCCCGCCGACCGACACCCAGCCAGTCCCCAAGCGGTGAATCCCCCCCCCCACTTCCCAGTTCCTAAACTAGATGGGACGTCACATGGTATGGAATACACTGTTGGCCAGTTTGGGTCAGGTGCCCTGGCTGGGCATGAGAAGCTGAAAAATCCTTGACTGTAGTCTAAACACTACTGAGCAACAACTGAAAACATCAGTGTTATCAACATTCTTCACATACTGAACTCAAAACATAGCACTGTACCAGCTACTAGGAAGACAGTTAACTACATCCCAGCTGAAACCAGGACAGCTGCCAAACGTAATGAAAAAATAAGAATTAATCAACTACCGGGGGAGGCCAGAAGTTAACATCACATTATGGCTACAGTTACAACAATACTGCCACCTCGCTTTTGCCCACCACTTCCCATCAGTGGATCTTGCAGTCGTTAGAGCAGGCAAATACTAGTCATCCCACTTTACAGGTAAGGCAACTGGTGCAGAGAGAAAGGCAGCCAGGCAGCAAGATGTGCTTATGGCAAAATGGCTCCCAGCTCTCAGGAGTTTCCAGAGGCTAACGCAAAGCCTTAAAATTCCCTGCCAGGGACTTGTTGCACCATTTCTCAGCTCAACGCTCACCGGTCTTACTGCACCACTCTTCACCTGGCCCCCAGCACTCAGTAAATACAGCCACATGCCACAGCAGCTGGGGAAAGTCCTGTCTTAGAGATCTGGGAACGGAGCTGGAGGGATCAAGTGAGGCACCCTGCAGCTCTGCCAGAGCCGTGTGATTGCCACGGCTCACCATGAAGTTATGGGGCTGCTACCTGGCCACTGGTGTTACAAGCCTCTTTATACAATAAGTATACTACTTGAATAAAAAGGCAGCAAACCACGGAGTAGAAGCTGGCCAAGAAAGCTACCATGTGGGTGACCAGGCTGGAACAGCCAGTTTTAAGAAGCCCTGCAGCTTATTTTCTCACTAAGAGGGATCCTTTTTTCCCCATTTACCCAAGCTCACAATGCTGACAGAAGCGGACTCAAACACCGATTCAAGCCTGCCAAACACTGCCGAGTCCCAAACATGCTGTGCCAGCACCCTCCCGCTTGCACCAGAAACGGAGCGACGGGCTTTGGGGGAAAACACATCAGGCTCAAACAGGACCACACCCCTTTGCCACTGCTCCCTTACACACCTTTGCACGCCTGGGCTCACCCACGAGGGACGTACGTGACACACGGGCTGATCTCTGGGACCGGCCTGGACTCTGGCAAGCCTGGCTTTGCCCTTTCCAGAGCACTTCTTCCCTCCCCTCCAGGGCTCGGCTGAGCCGCAGCCAGCTCGGCTCGCCCTCTTGTCCCCAGGAGGGGACCGGGGGGCGATGGGGAGAGGGGCTCTGCCCGCTCGCAGGGACCTGCGGCCACCTCGCCACCGCACTCCCCTGGAAAATAGCAGTGTGTCCCCCCGGGGGGGCTGCCGCTGCGCCTCGACGTGGAGGAAAAAAAAAAAAAAAAAAAGGCAATTTTTGGAACAAGCCCCTGGCACGGACTGGCCCGACTCTGCCTCCTCACGCCGTGGGAGTGACACGGCCCGCAAGGTTCCCACACGCAATTCACCGCCGTGCTCGTCTGGAAGGAGGGCCTTCGCCCTCGGCGGCCCGGCCCGGCGGCAGGACAACCGGGCCCCGTTGACCGTGCCCCTCGCTGCTGCCCGGTGAGCGGCCCCTTCCCCCCGCCCCGGCTCCCCCCTACGGTGCTCACGAGTCTCCCAGGAAGTCGTGGAAGCGGATGCGGCCCTGCGTGGTCTCCGCCTCAAAGTTCGGCGCCTCGTCGCCCAGCAGCAGACCCGGCATGGCTCCCGCTCCCGTTCGCTACCGGGACCGCCGCCGGCTCTGCGCATGCGTGAGGCCACCGCCCCCTTCCTCCGGGGGTGAGGCCCGTCGTGCTTTACGGCTGCCGCCGCGCTTTGCCGGGGTGGGGGGGGGGGGTGTCGGTTGGCGCTCTCACAGGGAGCGGTGATGGCGACGTACGTGAGCGAGCTGGAGGCGGCCAAGAAGAGCCTGAGCGAGGCGCTGGGCGAGAATGTGAAGCAGTGAGTGCGAGAGGGGGGCGGCCGAGGCCGAGCAGCGGCGAGGGTGTCCCGCCGGGCCGGGCCTGGTTGCTGCGTGGCCCGTTCCTCTTCTCCCGGCCTTCAAAGGGTCGTGTCTGTGCGGCAGCCTCAGCGCTGGCCTGGCCCCGGGCCCCTTTGCGCTGGTGGGAGAAAGCAGTGGGTTTAGGAACAACGCTTTTCGTTTGGTGTCTGCACTTCTCTGCTCTTCCCTAGGTACTGGGCCAACTTGAAACTCTGGTTCAAGCAAAAGATCAGTAAGGAGGAGTTTGACCTGGAAGCACGCAGGCTTCTCACGCAAGACAATGGTAAAAAGCCATCCTGTGTTTGTTTTCCTGCCGGTTCTAGTGCTCGCTTGCCCCAGCCAGGCCTGGGGGGAGCTCCTCCCTGCTGCATGTTGCTTCTCGAACAGGGAAATTGCAGTGAGGGAAGTAAGAATGGCCGGGGCTCCGGCAGCAGTAGAGTTAAAAAGGTGGGAGGTGCCCTGGCCTGCAGGGGGAAGTACCGTTGTGGCTCCGGCACTGACAGACAATTTGGCTCTGTGTAAATACGCTAAAAAGGTAAAATATGCTGTCCCAGCAACCAAAAAGCCATTTTTTATGTCACCGTAGAGACCCAGTCCTTTCTGTATTGCGCTCTCCCTTTGGTTGGGACTGAATTGGTGGTGTGGCTGAAGTGGGGGAGGGACCCCCGAATTCACCTAGGCGATTGTGCAGCCGGCAGATCCCCTTCCTGGCCTTTAGGGGTGGCAGGCTGGAGCGCTGAAGGGTGAGATTCCTTCATCTCGCCTCCGCATGGGTCTGCAAACATTGGCGAGCATTGCTGGGAGCTTTGTGGAGGTTCCCAACTTCCACATTCGTGATCCCTGCAGGGAGGGGCAGGGAGTTTGTTGGTGCTTGGACTCAAAGGCCAAAGGGCATCCTGTAACCCTCTGACCCTGCTTATGAAGTTTGTCTTTGCTCTTTCTAACGTGCAATTACTCACTCTGTGTTCCTGTAACCCTTCTGCGAGGAAGTTGCATTTTATCTAGAACCTATTGGAGTTAACTTCACCTTCCTGGGGCTGGCTCTTACTGGTCCTTTTCTAGAAAAACCAAAAGCCTTGCTACCGGAAGTCTGCATGGCAGGAGGGACAACTGATCCTCCTTGGACTGGCCTAATACACCAGACGTTTCACGTTGTGTGCTGTAGGGCTGGGTTTGTGTGTGTGGCATGCTGAGAAGTGACCTAACTTGTTTCCATGCCAGATGTAGTATCCTTTTTGTTAGTGTGGTAGTAGCAGATTCTGGGTCCAGTAGAAGAAAACTCTCAAAAAAACTTAAATTGAAAGTTCGTATGTAGCTAAGCACGTGGGGAAAACATGACTGTGGAAAGGCATAGTGAGCTACTTTAAGATCGCTTTGAGGGGGTGCTGCTGGGCACTGACGTGTTGCTAATGAACTGTCTGTCTTTATGCAGTCCACTCTCACAACGATTTCCTCCTGGCTATTCTTACCCGATGCCAGATCTTGGTTTCTGCACCAGGTAAGTCCTGAGAAGCTTCATGAAAAACTGTTGGGTAGTAACGCTTTGCTGCGTGTGTGTTTGGTGGGTTTTGTACAAAACACTCCAATTTTCTGGGCCTTAATATTCATGTTCTTTTTGCCACACAGGCAAAAGGGTAGCAAAGTAGCGATCCAGCTGATTTCAGCAGAGATGCCTTTATCAACAAGCTGCATGTGCTTGGTTAGATGCTAACGCTGGATTGCTGTGTGCAATAAGGTGGTTTGATTTCTGGACTGGGTGTGTGCTGTGAGCTGAAGTGTAAAGGGAGATGCTGCTTTGTCTTTGATCTGCTTTGCTTACTGCTGTGCCTCTCTCTTCGGAACTTGGTGATACTCTTTGTTCTTCTCTCTGCTGGGGATATCATTTTGAGGAGCTGGATATTCCTGACTGATCTTGAAATCGAGTACGTATATCATAGAAAGATGCTTACTGGGAATGCTTACGTGAGTCTTGATTGAGCTATGGCCAATTAACCCAACCTTCTGCAGATAGTTAACCTTTTGACTTTGTAAGCATTTAGAAAGGCTGTCGTCAGGGTTGCAAGGTATGTTTTATTTGGTCTTCAGAAGAACTCTCAATCCAGAGATCTGATAGGAAGGAGAACTGAGCTGCAATTCAAGACGTGAAACTGCTGTGTAGTAAGGGAACGAAAACTGTTACTGCCCTGAAGGGCTGAGACTGGAGAGATGAGGTTTTTGCAAGGAGAGAATACCTGTTATTAGGGTACCTGATGTAGTTAGAGGAAGGAAAAAGTGCAAAATTTATGGATAACCACAGCTTTTTGTGTTGTAGCAGGTCCTTAACTATACCAGCTGTGCTAATTAAATGCTAACCTCCCCCACCTCTGAACTTGCTTTGTTTGGTCTTGAACTTTACAAATACCTTTTGAGTCCTAGACTTGTCCTCTTTAGTGGTCTACACTCATGTAATTTGGAAGACTTATGTCTAAATCTTGCTACTCCTTGCTTTTGACTTAGAGTACTTACAGCTGGATTATAAAAAGAGCACAAGAACAGTGATTCCCCTGTGAGTATTACCTGAAGTAGCAGAGTCTAAATTAGGAGGGGGAGGGAGAGAGTACCTGCATTCTCTGAGCTCAGCACTGAGCTGATGTGCGTGTTGGAGCAGAGATCATAGCTCAGAGGTCTTGCTTCTGCGCAGCAGTAGTCAAGTTAGAGCCCATCGCTGTGTGACTAAAGTTGGGGTTGTTTATTCCCATGTGCACCACTCTGTGCTTAACTGTGTTGAATTTCATTTGTCTCTTTATCCAGTCACTTAGTATTGTGCAGCTCTTCTGCAGCCGTCCAGTCAGGCTTCATTTTCCCAGCTTGAATAGCTCAGATTTGTCAGCAAACTCTACCAGCTCCCCAATACCCCCTTTTTTCAAGGCTGTCTAGGAATGTATTAAAAGTATGAGCCCCAACACAAAGCAGTGTGGTGCTCCACAGCTGCTTTCCATATGGCCATTATTTCCTGCCTGACCTTTTTTAATTTCAAGTCCTTGTAAGGACTTTTCCTCTTGTCCCATTGAAGCTTATTCTCTTTAAGAGCCTTTGAAGAACCCTTCTTTGTGGTGCTTCAGCAGATCTGTGACAGCATGTAATGGAGTGCTTGCTGACCAGCTGGTCACCTTCAGTGCTTTCAGGCAGGCTTTTGTTGGCTCTATGGCCACAGATCTGCATATGCCAGCTCAGTTTAATTGTGTGTATGTGTTCTTAAAGACATGGTTTAGTGCTCTAACAGCTAACAGTACATACTGCTAGTCCCTTTTAGAGTCTGTTTTGCTCTCCTCAGATCAGTGCAACCTCCCAATGGTTTTGGAGCTAATCTGTAAGGAGATACGTCTTTCTGGGCCAGTGACTGGTAGATCTATTACACATGCATTTTACTAGCCAGTCCGCTGTGTGTGGCGTAGCGGATTGTACATGCAAGCCCAGGAAGGTGGAATACTAGATTGTATGTCTAGATTTCTTTTTCTCTTCCTAGATGCCAGTCTGACACCTGCTAGTTTTCTGTTGTTTTTTTTCTTTTTTTTTTTCTTTTTTCCCCCCATGTAAGAATGGAAAGCTAACAGGCTTTTGTCTCCACCACTGTCTTTTGGGTAGAAGGTGTTTACTTCATGATTCATGGAAACAAGTAACTTTAAAGAAGTGTGCTTCATGCACTTGTCACGCCATCACATGGGTTACTGATGCATGTACTTTCCACCTTCGTGTGAGAGAGACAAGGGGTAAAGAACCATCTTTAAAATGCTATTTTGTATTAAAAAAAACCCCAAAATGTGTGGTCAGTGTTAAAAGTGTGCTTCATATTGTGGCATTTGGAATAGGAAACCTTGGGGAAGGTATTTTTAAGGGGTGATTATAACATTTGTTGAACCATGCAAACAAACCCATCTGATTCAAATTTTGCTGCCCCTGGTAGTAGTGGTTCCACCTGGGCTTATAGGGGAAGACAGGGTGAATGTGACCCTTTGTGGGAAGGCTTTCCATTTCCCCCTCTCATCTGCTTAGGCTGTTGGTCACACGAACTTCAAATTCTGGTTCAACAGCCTGTGTGGCACAGGATGTTTAGGCCTTGGTGGTGGAGAGGGAGGGAAGTTCATATCTGTTCCAATGTGAAGAATGACCAGTTGCTTTAATTCCTGCTGAGCTCCCACTGAGGGCACAGCAGGATCCTGAGTAATCCTAAATCTGAATTCTCTGTCCTTTTTAAAAATGGGTGATGATGTTCCTTCTGGTAGTCATGTTTGTAAAGACACCCATAAATACTCGAGTGGCACCCAGCTGTAATGTAGCTGGGAAGTTGTGAAAGTGCCTGAAGAGAGGAACCTCCCAGAAACATGCTACCCAAAATACTAGAGAGTGCCTTAATGGTGATTTTAGGTTGGCTGTACCAACAGCCTGAGCACTGTGGCGCACTTCCCATTACAAGAAAATGGCTTTCTCTTGGTATTCTCTTTTTACCAATATTTTCAGAAGTGCTTTTCTGAATTTTTGCATCTGGGGTTTTTCTTCCCCCCAAAATTCCATCAAGAGAAACTCCAGTTTAAAGCCTTTCTTAACCTTGCATGAACTTGCTTGCTAAGCTTATCTTGTTTGTTGGATGATTGCAAGCAGTCAAGGTAGCAAGGTTTCTTGAGTTAATACATATCTCACTTGAACTGTTACTTCCCTCCTTAGCTAAATGTTAACAACAAAACTAAGACAATTGCAAGCACTTGAGTTAGTGCTGTAAGGATTTAATTTATTTACTAGTAATCTGGAGCTAACTAAGAGATGGTTCACGAATTAGAACTCTTGCTGGGATAGCAGGAGCATTTTGTTATATTAGGGTTGTCCACAGACTTTGCTTGAAGGGCTGCCAGCTGTGAGACGGGCTCAGGTTGCTCATGTTCCACTTCTCTCCAGTGAGCTGGGAAGGGAGGAAAAGGAAGAAAATGGAAGTGTCGGTTGTTGACAGAGGAGGGTCTTCAGAATATATTTGACTAAACCCTTGTCCCTGCAAGAAGATTAAAAAAAAACCCAACCAAAACAACTGAAGATCAAATAAACGAGGGTGGGAACATGCATGTTTCCTGTGCCTGGCTGCTTTTCTCTGTCGTGACTTTCTCTGTATCTTTGTCCTTTCCTCCTGTGCAGTGCTGGTACAGCACGTCAGGAAAACCTGACACACTGTCTGGACTGGCTGGTGCCATCACTGCAGGGATGTGGCAGCTCTTAGAAAAACATTCTTATCTGTTGCTCATCTTTGAAGGGCTATCAGCAGCCATTGCTGTGGCTTGTTAACATCTAATTGTCTTACTAGCAAGATTAAATAAAAGCTGCTAACATCTCTGAAGTTTCATGTCTGAGCCAACCCAGCCTTGTCATTTGTGGCCAGGAAGGCAAGTATTGGTTTTCTTAGAATACAAGAGGGAAATTTTGCTTTCTTCATGTAGTGCAAGTCAGTCTTGCTAATATGAAAACCTAGAAAAGGAGCCAAAAAAATTCTGCTCTGGGCTCATTATAATGGGGAATAGGAGATAGTGTCTCATCTTTTCCTTGTTCTAAGCCAAGTCTGGCTAAGTTTGTTAAATGTGCAGGTTGAGATTCAATTAAGTTGCATCTTTCAGATCTACTGTCAAAGCCTCCAAATTTAGTTGCCATTTACTTTAAAAGTTACTATCTTATATTTTAAAATAAGGCATTTAAAAAATTCAGCATGTGCTATAACCTATTAATCTGTAATACATTGTTGGATAAAAGGGTAGTGTTTGCTATTTCTCTCTCCATCTGTTCCACTTTCTCTGTCTCCACCAGCTGGTCACATAGTTAACTACGGATATGTTTGTAAGCGAAGCTGTGAAGGAGCTGTATGACACTTTTGACAAGGAGGAAGGGCCTCGAGTGGGGTGACATTGCAAACTAGAGAGATGTGCTTTTATTGAAAGGTTTGAAATGGGCCAGGTGATTTCTGTGTCTGTCCTTAACACACCTAATCCCCCTCCTGCCTAGAAGGGGTCTGACCTGCTATGGAAGAGAGGAGGAGGAGAGGACTTGTCTGTAAAAAGCAAAACATCTTGTGGGAGAAGTAGCATTATTTTGATACATCTAAGATGTAAGTCTGGAGATCTCGATGAAGGGCAAGAGTGGTCCTTGAGACGATTGTTCATGGTTCTTTCCCACACCCCCTCTACTGCAATGTTGTAGTGATGAGTGGTGACACCAGCTTTTGATTTTCTGGAGAGGCTTTATTATCTCTTAATTTCCTATAATTGACCAGTGGATTTTGATAACAGGGGTTGTTGTAGACTATTGGTTTTCGCCTCACTAACAGGATGTAGCTAAACTTTTTGGTAAACTTTTTTTATAAGGAGAATATGCCATCTTTCTATGTGAATGTAGGTTGTTTCTAACCCCTTCTCAGCAGCTGACCATTCAAAAACTTCACCTGAATCCTCTGGTTTAGCTTGATCATGTGTTAGAAGTTTTTTTTCATGGCAGAGGACACTGCGCTCATGCTCCAGCTATGAGTGTGGGAAGTTCCCCATAGCCAAGGATTTACAGCCAGCCTCGTTCCCTGTAAACAGGGCTGTAGTATAACTCTACAGTTTGGCTGTGCCAAACCAAGGAAGGAGGATACTGGTGACACAAAGCAGAGGCTGCCTCTGTAGCCGTGAAAGGGCTGTCCAGTCTTTGGGTTGCACTTCTTGTTCACTGTCAGCAAGTGCATATGCATCCAATGCAATGTTATCTTAAGCCCTAGTGTGCCTAAAGGAATTGTGCATGGATCCTGTAAACCCGTTGGCAGGAAATCTGCTAGGCTGTCCTTGCCGAGAGCTGTGATTATCAGGATGTGGTTTGGCCTACTGTAGGTGTAGCTGTCAAAACAGCATACAGTGGACTTCTGAGCAGTCTCCTCAAGGTGATGTGGCCAAATGTAATTATTTCTTGGTACTACACAGTAATCTCTTTTTTAGCTGCTTGCCAGTTCTGGTCAGTCAGAAGCTCACTGCTTATGTTGGTGTTGTCCTGCTCCTGGGCTCAGTGGAGCTTTGCAGTTTTCTCCCCCCTCGCCTTTCCCCTCAGTGTGACAAGAACAATCAGTCATGATGTTTAACAAGGGTCTGAGACAACGCTTGCTAAAGCTGATGAGGACTGTAAAGGTAGATGTAATGAGTCAGACTGCTTGATCCTGCTGGTTAATGTCTGATCTGATCCAGGAGTTGGTGGGAGGAGAATCCCCCTCCAGGCAAGCTGCTGTCATCTTCCTGATGGAACAAATTACTTGTTCCTTCTGTGTGGCTTTCCTTGGAGGCTGTGCTTATCTCTCTCCTTCGGCCATGGGTTTTTGTGTGGTGTGTGGATGGAAAGTTCTCCTTAAGTAATGGGTCATAAGTAAGTCAAGCTAGCAGGGGTCTGACGAAGGGAAGGGCTGCCAAAAGCATTCTCCCCTGTGAAGTCCTTCCTCTGGGCCATGGCTGTTGATTTTGGGTTAAAGCTTAGCAGGAGGCCAAATGTTAAGGGTTTTTCTGTGTGGACAGTTTCATCCTGGCCCTAAATCAGCAACACCTATCAAGTGGGTTTTTTTTCTTTTCAATTTGTAGAAGGTGCTGGATCTCTGCCGTGGCCAGGTGGCTCTGCAACTAAACCTGGAAAACCCAAAGGAAAGAAAAAGATTTCTTCGGTTCGACAAAAGTTTGATGTAAGTCTCCACAGTCAAATAGTCATGGCTCTCTGATGTTCTGTTGGGGGTGAAGAGCTCTGCACAGCATGTAGTTTTTGTTACTACCAGGGATGACGGAAGTTCAACACATGCAATGATGTACGTCATATTTGTTTTGAGTTCTGCACTGGGGCAAGAACTGAGGGTTAGTGGCTGCTGCCTGTCTCATGGAAGCCTCTTGGGAGAAAGGCTACGGTGTGACCTGGCTTTGTTAGACACCAGAGAACACATGGAAGAACACCTAAATGTCAAAGTTGCAAAAGCTTGTGTTCCTGGGACCATTGAGGAGTACCTTTAGCTCTGTGGTCACTGCAGTAACGCCTGGGCAGGTCTTTCATAGTCTCATTCACCTTTCATGTTCTCTGTAATATCTTGTTCACTTCACACATCTGCCGCATTCTTGAAGCAAAAGTGATTGCCTATTTATTCAGGCAGTCAGGCAGAATTCTGTGATTGTATGAACCCCTCCACATGACTGCAGTCCAAAGTGTTAGAAGTAAGATGTTCCTCGGCTGGAATGTTCTAGAGGGTCAAGTTGTTTCAGAATTGAAAGCGCTTTGCAAAGATGCTGTCTTCTCATAGGTGGCAGAGAAATGCGCAAGATCCGGTTCGCTTTGCAGCAAAGGCTCTGTATGTGGATCTGGTACTGTCACGCATCTGTTCTACAGTTGTTTCTGTGCTGCCAGACCAGTGTGGAGGGGGCCTGGTGTGAAAGAGGATTGGGGTGGGGCACTGTCTTCCAGGGATGGAGTTTGATAAGACTGTTCAAACTGAAGTAACAGTTTGTTGAAAGGGAGAGTGTCTGTCTCTTACTGAGCCAGATTTATCAGGTGTCTGAGCACATTGTGATCCAGTTCAGTTCTCTGACAAGGCAGAAAACTAACCAATCACAAAAGACCCCAAACCCCAAGTTTTTCTTGCTGGTTTATTCAGCTGGATCAGCTTTCTTTGCGGTTGGATGAATGCCAAAGCCAACACAAAGGAAGAAGAGGCTGGGGATAGGGGAGAAAGGTGGGGCTGTGAAACCTCCCGCTCTTACGCTGTGAAAGGTTAGCTTGGCTCAGCCGAAGTGCATACCGCACTCCTAGGGACTATAATTAGGCACTGTGTGTGTGTGCTTCAGAGAGCAGTGTTTCAAAGGGATGCAAGTCCAGCTGAAGGCTCATTGTATTTAGAAACTGCTGAAATACTTTGCAGTGTTCACAGCTGCAACCTGAATTCTGCTGGCAGTCTGTTATCTTTTTGTTTTCAAACTTAACCATAACTTTTCAGTAGCAAGTAGAGGAGAGTTTGAGAAGCAAGTTGTGATGTAGTGGAAGTCTTGGAATTTGGTTTATTCAGATACCCCTGTGTTACGCCACATTTCTAGTGTGTGTTTATACATATGTTCCTGGAATGCTTGATACTAAGTACTGTATGAAGTGTATGTTATGATTAACGAGCTTGTCTATTATTAGTGGAATTCCTGAGTAGTGTGAACTTGAAGTGCCTTGATATTTCCTGATGTTTCCCTCACTGGTCAGAGTAACAGTTGTGAATGACCACAGATTCATTCCAATTGGCTTCTGCTGTCCCAAACCACATTGCTCTTGAGTTGCCTACATTTTGAAGGTTGTCTTTTCCAGCTTTCCTGTAATGAAAACATAAGTCTTCAGAATTACGGGGAGGGAAAACTGTTTTCACATCATTAGTGGGTGGATTGGTTTTTCACTCTGAGTTAAATGCCACACTGTCCTTTGAATGAAGCAGCCCCCCTTCCTCTCCTGAAACGAAGATGTGAGAAATCCATTTTGCTGTATATTCATTGTTTATATTTAAAGTATGTGTTTGTCTTGATGCCCCATAAAAGCCTTGCAGCAATCTTCATTCCAGAGCCACTGGATTTGTGGCTTGGAGAGTTGAGGGACTGTCCAGGAGTTGTGGGAGCACTCGATGAACCAGGGTCATGTTGTTCCCTTGTGGGTTGGGGCTGGGCCAAGCACATGTCTGGGCTCAAGGATCAGTCATTCCTGTCTGCTTTTTCCTCCCCCTTTACGTGGGGACTGAGGCTTTCCGGGAGCCACCACAAGCACTCAGAGCTTGAGACACCAGCACAGCAAGGGAATTGTGCTGGAATAACCGTGGTCTGGGAAACGGGGGTTGCCACCTTCTGGTATGAATTCCTGTTCTGTGATGGTTTTTTTTTTTTTTCTAAATAACTGAGTCAGTTCTGAAAAATAGCCATAATCTATCTCAGAATCAGTGGCTGCTCAGTAACACAGCTCTGCTTTGAGTATTGAAAGTGCATGGGGGAGACTACAGTATGAAATTGAGAACAGGAATTTGGCTAAGCTGTTGCATTTGAAGCTTTAAAGAAATGTAAGAAGCACTTCATCACACAAGCTTAGGATCACGTTTTTTTAATCTTGATGGAAACAGTACAGTTAGTAACTAAAAATACACCCTTCTGTACAAGAAATGACTAAATAGACAAGGACTCTTCAGTGTAGAAGGAAGTGAATGAGAGATGTGAAAGTCCATAAAATCATCACTGGCCCAGATAGCGTGAACAGAGATAAAAGGGACAATGGCTGACCACACTTGAGACGTACAGGAGAATCAAAAGAATCTAGCAGGTGGGAAGTACAGAGCAAACCAGAGGAGGTGACTCTTCATGTGGTGTGTTGTTTCTTGCTGCAGGATGTTGTGGAGACTCAAGGTTTAGGCGGTTCAGGGTGCTACTGGACAAGTTCATGGGCTGTTTAATGAAAGGACACCAACACTGGCTCAGAAATTTCTTCAGTCACAAATTGTTGGGGGTTGGGAGAGTATCCTGGGGAGGAATATCACTCTGCTTGTCCTACTGTGATATGTTTTTATAGGTGTTTGCTTTCCGACTGGAGAAGGGATGTTTGGCTTGATGAACCAAAGGGTCTGACCGAGTATTTATCAGCTGATGCTCTAATGTGTTCATAACAGCACCGGTTCCAGCCTCAGAATCCGCTCTCTGGAGCCCAGCAATTTGTGGCAAAGGATCCTCAGGAGGATGATGACTTGAAGCTGTGTTCTCACACCATGATGCTTCCTACACGTGGCCAGTTAGAAGGAAGGATGATTGTAACTGCGTATGAGCACGGCCTAGACAATGTCACAGAGGAGGCAGTGACCGCAGTTGTTTATGCTGTGGAGGTGAGACTGGGCTGGGCAGCAGTGGTCGTCTCATTATAGCAGCAACAAAAGGCTCTGTGTGCTGTATGGGGTAGCGTCCCTCAGTGGGGAGAGGAAACCTGCTTCTCTAATTGCCTGTTTGCCTTGGGAGGAATAAGATGAGAACCAGAGGGCTTCCAGATTGGTGGCGTTATAGATGTAAAGTCTTGGATTTCTGCTTGCAAGTGTTAATTTTGAAGTACTTGCATATGAAGAACTCCAGGTATGCTTAAGTAGCTGTTTTGGAAAATGCTGTTCTTGTCACTTAAAAGCAGGGACAGAACGGGAACTCCAGTTTAAACAGTTCCATGAAAAATAATCCATTATAGGCGCAAGTATCTGGCATGGGAGTGAGGTGACAGAATCGGGTAATACCTGCAGGTGAAGTGCGTGCTGTTGCTGGTTTTGGCCATCAGTGGTGCATTACCTGACATATCCCAGGAATGATACAGCCATGACTTGCAGCCTTGATGTGTGGATGGTTTTTTTTGGAGTGAGGATGTGGTGGCCAACCTGAACTCCCCATCTGGGGGTGAGGCCAAATTAAGAAGCAGTTGTCTGCTTGTTTTTTCAGGCAGTTGCTTCTCCAGCACTTTCCAGGCAACTGAACAGTCTGAAAAAGAGGAGTGAGTGGCTTTTCACTGTAGTTTTAGGGCCAGTATTTCAGTACAGGTGTACCATCTAGTGCCAGTTATGAAATCTCTTAACTCTTTATCAAAGGGATCAGAGGTTGGGAGCTTCCTAGCATTTAAGAAACCTCTTCTGACATCTGAAGCAGCGCATCACATATTAAAGTACAGTTCACAGGCTAACGCATAAAAGTACTTGCACAGTGCCACGTTCTCTGTATCCAACTGTATCAGATACAGTATGTGAAAACATACTGTAACTTGTCCAGATCTTGGTTTCCCTTCGTCTTTAGGTCCTTGTGGTTGTAGCAGCACTACTTCTGTCTTGCCAATAGGTGAGGCACTTCTCACAGCCATGGCTTGGTAGAGTGAATAAATCGGCATGTGTAGTAAGACTGTTTTTCATTGCAGAACCATCTTAAGGATATTCTGACATCTGTGATATCCAGGCGGAAAGCCTATCGTCTGAGAGATGGCCATTTCAAGTATGCCTTTGGAAGCAATGTTAACCCGCAGCCATATCTGAAGAACAGTGTTGTGGCTTATAACAATTTAATTGAGTGGTAAGGAGCTCTCAGCACACTGCTCATTTCAAATGCAATTTGCTAGTCCCGAAGTCACCCCATGGTTCAGTTTCTCTTTTCACTTGGTAGAATCTGTTAATAATGGTGTTTAGCTTTCACACACTAAGAAGGTATCAGTACGGAGGAGTGTATGGCTAAACAGAGAGGGAGAATATGGGGATTTCTCAGCAGTGGAGTTCACGACAGTGTTAAGTCTCTCTTCCTTGCCTGTGCTTGTCCATCAGTTCATGAAGGTTACCCCTGGCCCTCTGAATGTCCTCGTAATTATTGTTTTTTGGAAGCTGTAGTGAGTGACATGGGAATTTTGCTGCTCTCAGGGAAACTGCCTGAAAGGCAGAAGAGCCATTCTTTTGTGGGGGCACCGCTGTTGTGCCACAGGAGTGAAATGTCAGTGAGGACCTGCAGGACACTGCCATCCTGTCATTTCCTGCATCCAAATGTATTTATGGTTCCTTGGCATGCCTTTACAGCTAGCAGAGCTTCAGGGTCATCTTGTTCTCCAAAGTCTTAATGTCAAACAGCTTGTGCTGTGCCTCTGGTAGTATGTGCGTATGAGAAGGCAGTTGTGTTTGTCTATGGCAGCTTCTAGAAGTTGACAGGAGGTCGTGGGTGTTCTGAGATTTGATTGTAGCACTACAAATACTACAAACACAATCCACTCCAAACAACTCTGCCTAACGGCTAATGTCTTTCAATTTAATGTTGTAGGTGCCCTAATTTTTGTGCTGGGTAGAAACTGTCAGCTGTAAATAACACAAGTTGCCCAATCGAGATCAGTTAAGCAGGTTTGAAGCATGTTGAGGATCACTTTGCACTATTTTTATTAAACTGGAATTTTAAAGATATTTTAATTACAGCTGAAATAATATTATGCACAGAAGGGATAAGTCAACTGACACAGAAAAGCAAACCCTGGGGCTAAGCCCCTGCTCTGTGACTTCCACAACTGGTGCTGTTTTCTTGACTGGAAGGTTTTACTGCCTGCTCTGTCTATAGCCCTCCAAACTGTGCGACACCTTCTGCTGGTCAGAGTCTAACTCCCCAGCCCCCGCCTGATGATGCTGAGCAGCAGGCAGCTCTACTCCTAGCGTGCTCTGGAGACACCTTGCCAGCGTCCCTCCCGCCAGTGAACATGTATGACCTTTTTGAGGCATTACAGGTAAGCTGTTCATGTTACACTGTCGTGTCACAGGCAGCACTGCCCTGAGTACCAGCTACCAGTCTCAGATTTGGTTACATGCGTGGTGGGGGATTTGATTTCTCCTCCTACAGTCTGTTTCCTTCTTTCCTTCTCAAATATACAATTCTTTGGCTTTGACTTGATCCCACTGTTAGGTAATGGTTAACATATGGTCAGCTCGTCATTTAATGCCTGTTCTGCTCCCCTTGGTCAGAAGTTGGTGAGGAAATCCCTGTCTCTTCTCGCTATGTAAGAAGGCTGTGTAACTCTTCCTCTCTAGCAAGGCTGCAGCAATTATATCAGAACTTGAGCTAGACTGAGATTTTGACAGTGATGCAGCAAAATGACTTGCCTCGCATGTCCCTTCTTACTCCTCATGTTCCACCTGGGTACTTGGAGGAATACTTGGTCCTGGCGTGCAGGCTGCTGCGGTGGGTTAGCTAGGATCACCCTAACCCTGGGGAGGTGTCTAAGGTAGGCTGGATGAATCTTCCCGTGGAGATGTATGCCTGTGGTTCCCTCCCTCTCTGGCAGCTCTGGGGACATTCAGGCTACTTAGAATGTCTAAAATTAGCTGTGAGAAATTGCCCCTTGATCGCTGCTATTGTGAACAGGCCTTGAGATTTTGTCTCAAGGCTGCAGGGGCAGACCATTCATTGTAAGAGCTGTAAACAAGCATTCATCTCACGTGTTTAGTCAGATAGACTTGTTTGTAAGATTTTGATGGCAATTTGTTTTTTGTCATCTCAAGAGCAAAATGACAGTATCCTTACCGTGCCACTTCCTTACAAAATGGTGTAACAGGCAGTTGTTCTGTGCTGGCTGCTGTGGCAGTGCTGGCAAGTTGCAGCTCTCCTCATGTGTGACAGCCTGCATCCCTGCTCTGCCGGGCTGGTGCTCTGATCATCCTGTAGTAGAGGGAGGTTCTTCCATGGGCAATATGGGGAAATGTGTATGAAAGTGTTAAACTTGTTTTCTAACGTGTATTTCCAGGTGCACAAAGAAGTTATTCCTGCGCACACTGTCTATGCTCTAAACATTGAGAGAATTGTCATGAAACTTTGGCATCCAAACCACGAGGAGCTACAGCAGGATAAAATCCATCGCCAGCGCCTGGCAGCAAAGGAGGGCATTCTACTCTGCTAGAGCTAGGCAGCCCTGTCAGGCCTCAGGTGGCTACGGTGCTATTCCTTGGACTTGACATTCAGATGCTTCTTGCAAACCTGTGTCAGCATTTCAAGGATGACGTAAGTTATGAGTCAACTTTTCCTATGGAAATATGACTGAGTTGTGGTACGCTTTCTCTGCTTCCCCAGAGTCATGTGCCATGGAGTGCTTGCAGCAATCCCACTGAATTGGAAAGGAGAAACAAGATTTGTTTGCAAAGACTGTTTTTTAGGAAAAATAAATGTGAGGATGGAAAGTGCTGGTTTTAAATAAGGTGTATTTGTGTTTTCTTTTGTGAGCATGGGGAATCTGCCTCCTCGCCCTCCCCTCTGGTAGTTTCCCTTCTGAGCTCAGTCTCCAAGGGCCTTGTCCAACTTCTGTTGCAGTTGGTGGGATCCTTTTCCATTCATTTAACTGGAAACAGGGTGGGCTCTTGTGAAGTGAAGATGAGCAATTCTGTAAGCTGACATTGTTCCTCTTCTACCAGGGGAACTTCTGTTTAGAAACTCTGAGAAAACAAGGTAAAAAGGGAAAAGTCCTTTCTAGCCTGTCTTTTGAACTGTTTTGCATCACAAAACATGTAGGTGTGCACTGTCATAGGAATCTCTCACCAGTTACCAAAATGCGCAATAAAATCAGGGTTGTGAGTAATGTTTTCATATCAGCCTAGTCCTTGACTCACCTCTGTCTTGTAGTAGTAGCGATCAGATGTTCTAGGAGTTGTTGGACTAATGACAAGAGGCAACCTCTGTGCCTGTCAGTACAGCTAACGATTTAGCCATCCCAGCAGGCAGCTTGACCATCACTGAGGTGGGACAGCAACTCCTGAATACAGATACTAATCAACTGTTTTAGTGTTGCAGACTCCTTGGATTTGCAGCATGAACAAGATGTCTCGTATTACTTCACTGTAAAAAATATGCAGCCACACCCCTTTCCACATGGGGAGGTGTGCAGATCGCTGTAAAAGGGGAAATTCCACCTGCTATGTTTCAGGTACTCTACTGTCTTCCTGAGTCAGCTGTGTGTTCCTCAGATGCTGAAGGGAACAGGCTTATTATAACACAAGAATTCTATTAAAGTGTCTTAATTACTATATTACCTGGTTTTAACCACACCTATGGAGGTACCTGCTGAAGGATGACTTGGCTTATTGTACCTCCAGATAGTGGAATTGAAACAGCTTCCTCTGAGGCAATATGAAAGGGGAAGCTCATGGTTCCCCTCCATTTTAGTTTTCCTCTGTTTGGGAAGTATTTGGGTAGGAGAGCTGTCATCTTTCCCCTTTCCTGTGCAGTTTCCGTCTCTACTGCACCCCCAGGACTGAAGAGGGTGCAGGTCCCTGATGTTTCCTCCCAGTTATATTTTTTTTTTATAACTTCTATTCTTGACTCCCATGACTGTTCATATTGGATCAGTGTTGTAGCAAGGGGCTGTGCAGCTGTCACTGTGTTCCTGGTGTCCTGCGTGCCCTTGTGGGATGTGCTGTGGAGTTAGGCATAGCAAGAGGCAGTGCCCATCAGTGGCTCTCGTCATGAGAAGACCATTTTAAGATTGTGAAGAAGCTGGGAAAGGCTACAGCAGGGCCTGGCAGGATGAGAGCAGTTGTACCTGGTAAGTCATGTCTCTTAGGGTATGGCAGTGTGTGGTTAAGAGGGAAATGGGAGAGAGGAGATGCAAGATTTCTTTTGGTCCCTTTCTCTCAACTGCCATTTTTCCTGTATTTTAAGCATACATAGCTGTTCGGAGCAAGCCTTAGCTTTAAAGTTGACCCCAGTGGCTTTTACATGACAGTTTTTAAAAGCAACATTGAACCTGAGTAACTATGTGGTAAGATCATCAAGTCACCCGAAGTACGGACTCTGGGGTGTGGGAGGGGGATTTCCCAGATAATTGTTATGCTTCTGGTGTAAAATGAAAGCATTAAGTTTGTTTGCTAGAAACTTTGGGGCAGCTGTGACGATTTCAGATCTGAAGAAAGCACGCAGCCTCCGACAGCATCACAAGTGAGTTCTGAAACAAAATACTAAGTATGGCACAAGAAGTGCCTCTCTCTTCTGTTTGCATGTGCTGGGGGGAAGGCTCTGCAGACAGAGCCTCATATTCTGAAGAGCTGAGTCATCTATTCCACACTGAAAAAAGTGGGTTATTCGGGACACCTGCTAGACAACAAAGTCTTGAATAAGGAAATCCTGTCAGCCCCATTTCACAGATCGGAAAACTGAAAGGCACACGTTCTCAATGCACTTTCCCACAGTCTGAGGTCTCTTCTGGGGTAATTTAGCTGGAAGGGATGTCCGGAGGCTGCTTTGTCAACCCTGTGCTGAAAGAAGGGCCAAGTTCAAAGTTAGAGCAGGTTGTCTGTCTCCGGAGATGAGACCAGAGAAGTGGTGACATCTTCTATTCCAGTGTGTGACCATGTGACACTGAAGGTTTTCCTTGCATCCTGTCAGAATTTCTCATGTTGTGCCTGTGCCTGTTGCCTTTCAGCTTTTCCTGAGTCTGTCTGTGGCTCCCCATCAGAGAGTAGCAGATAACAGTAAGATCTCCCTTTTGCCTTCTCTCCAGGCTGAACAAACGCAGCTTGCTCAGCTTCTCCTTATACCAAATTATTATCAAGATGGCCTCCACTGAACTTGCTCTGGTATGTCACTGTCCTTGTGCTGGGGAACCCAAACTGGAACCAGCTCTCCAGGTGGTCTCACGAGTGCTGAGCAGGATCCCTCCTCTTGCCCTGCTGGCTGTACTCCTGCTAGCGTTTGGCCTTTGCTGCACGGGTGTACTCCTGACTGCTGGGTTGCTTGTCCACCCACACTTCCAGGTCTCTTCCTGTGAAGCTGCTTTCTTGCCTGTTGTCTCCAGCCTGTTCTGGTGCAGGGGGTTACTCTATCCCAGTGGCAGGGCTGTACATTTGCCATTGAACTTCTTGAGGTTCCTCTCAGCCTGTTTCTCCAACCTGTCTAGGTTCCTCTGAATAGCAGCTCTGCCCTTTGGTGTATGAACCACTCCTCCCAATTTGGTGTCATCTCCAGGCTGGCTGCCCATATGCTCCATCCTATCATCCAGGTCGGTAGCAAAGATATTAAAACACAAGAAGCCCCAGTATAGACTCCTGTGTGTTGGTCCCAGTATTGAGTGCCACTAGTAACCAGCAGCCAGCTGGACTCTGAATTGCTGACCAGTGCTCTTGGAGACCTGCCCTGAAAGCAGGGTTATGGTACTGATACCTATTGCTGTTAGGCTGGTGGTTTTCACTGTGACATGACATATGTCTGTCTTCACTACAATAATCAGCCCTCTAAAATGAGTAAGATTACTGAATTTCAAAGCAGCAGCTCAAAGTAGCACTGAAATTAGTTTGGAAGGGTCTGTTTTCTGCCCCAAGATCCACCAAGAACCTGCCAGGTCTATGGCAAGCTGAGCTTGACCAAAACTTCCTTGACAGATGTTAGCCTGAAAAACTGAGAATGGAAGCTTTCAGAGTTTTCTTAGGCAACCTGTTGTGCTGTTTAGCAGTCTTCACCACTGAAGGCCTTTTCCACAGTCTTGTGCCTCTTGCAGCGGCTTAGGCCTAGAACTTGTCATGTTCACCCCAGAGTATTGTATGGAGAGAGAGTAGGCAAGGAATGAGAGATCATCTGTCACATCCGTAGTAGTGAGAATTGCATCTTATGTTCTTAATCCAGTAGGAACTATGCAATGTACTGAAAGTTGCCACTCAGGAGCTTCTAGTGCTTCTAGCTTCCATTTCTAGGTTTGCAGTGGAAAACCATTAGCCACCACATGGAGAGGGGAAAAAAGTGCTTGAGAGCTTCACCAGGCTTACTTCATGGGCTGAGTTTGGGTGAAGATGGCCATCTGATCTCAGGATGTGGCCAATGCCTCTGGGAGTGTTGGATGCAGAAAGACAATCTCTTATTTTTACTTTTCAGACAGTTCCAGCTGTCAGACCTGGCTTAAGTCTGATCAAGCCTTTACAGCTGGGTGCCAAGGATCCTAGAGATGTGAATGTAGCCCTCCTCAACACCCCTAAATAGCCAAACTCTTGCTGCCAAGACTGGTGACCAGGAAAGATTTTTCTCATTGCTGGTTCACAGCAGAAGCCTGGAGCATAGCACTTGCTATCAAACATGGACTGCACTGCCTTTCTCTTAGCTTAACTGCTCGTATGTCCCTTCCCAGCCTTCCCACTCTTCTGCAGCCGAGGTGGACTTTTTTGGTTGTTGTCCCAGTTCTTCCTTCCTAGCAGAATAATCCCCCTGTTGTAGGAAGCTGGGATTGGGTGTGATGCAAAGAGTGGGCCCTCTGTTTGAGGTCCAGAAACTGTGTGCCAGCAGTGCCTAAAAATACAGATTCTGGTTTCTCAATAGAGAAAAATCTAAACTAGTGACTTTGTACCACCTTCTTCCTACTCGACCTCTAGGAAACTTCTGGCAAAGAGAGGAAAATGAGGAAATGAGACTGCTTGCATTTAAGAAGAAACCACATGCACTGCATTTCTGTCCTTAACCGTGAATGCCCAAGAGCCCCAAACTGGGTTTGCAGAAATGATCTGCTGTCCAGCCAAGCGAAAACAATACCAAGAAAGGAGACCTCCTTTTGTCCTCCTGGGGTGGAAGGAAGCGTGTGACCTATTGCTGCAGTCTGATGTCAAAGAAGAAAGTCTCCACAGAAGAGGGGCTGCCTTCCCAGTTCTGAGAATGCAGCTGCAGAGAGGGGTGGTAGTGGCTGTTCCCTGTCAGGGACTTGTAGGTGATAATGGATGTGTCTTGCTGGCCTGAAGTCATGTGCAGAAGGGTTTGCAGCAGTGCTGCAGCAGTAGCATGATGCCAGCAAGCTCTTCTCCCAGCGAGAGGCACGACTCGTGCTGCTAGAGGAGGGCTTCGGCAGTGTAACTTCAACAGGCTCCTAAGAAGTAAATAATTTCTCAGAGCCGAAAGGTTTCCTTGTGGTGTTGCCTTTCTTCACCAGTGTGGTTACTGGTGTGGTCTGGTTGGCAGGAGGAGAGGACGAATTCACCAGCCTGCCTTGCAGTTACTGCAGAAAAGAGCTTTATGTGTAGCTGTGGCTGTAGCCTGGGGCAGGCAGGGAAACCAGACAGCGTCAGGCAAGCGCACCCTTTGTGTCCCTGAGGTCAGTATTCGCCAAACCTTGAGGCAAGCACAGCTCTGTGTGCTCTAGACACTGCAGGCTGAAGGGACTGTTGCAGGCTTGGCACCCCTCAGGCTTGTTTGCCTAGCAGCAAACGGTTAACAAAGTGTGCAAAGTCAGGGCACAAACACTACTGTCTGCCTTCCTCAGGTGTACAGAGACCATAGTTCACACTGAGATCAGGGCACCGCAGCTGCCTCCAAGACTTTGCATCTTCTGAGGAGTCCTGTTAAGCGTCCTGGGCATCCCCATGCAGACCCAGCTCTGGGTGGGGTTGTGCAGCAATGACAGGAACATGGTGCAGATTTCTTTCTGGGTCAAGCACAGGCTGCTGATGACCACTGAGCTGCTGCTGTAACCCGCTTCCAGCCCTGAGTTTGATTATGGTCCAAGGTCCTGATTAGATGATTATTTTTTTTTTTCCTAGATCACAAAAGGCAGAGGTAACTGGACAGAAGACTTGTGTTAAGAATAATTTTTCACCAAGAGTTGCATCCAAGTGAAGCTTTTTGTAGCCTTTTTGATTCATTTCTTGCCAGGAAATGAGTTTGTCTCCAGATAACATCTGGCCAATGGGGTTTTTATGACTGCGGAGTATCCTCAGTCTGAGGATGCTTGGGTGCAGTATTGGAGGCCTGGACTTGGGCTCTTGTTCTGCCTGAGGGCCATTTAAGTGAGGACAAGAAGTTTCTGCATTTGAGTTTACAAGCAGCACCTGGGGCTCTGCTTGGACCCTTGATGTCCCTGCAATGAGTACAGTGTATGGAAAAGAAACTGCCACTGCAGTGAGTGTTTGTGGCCCCCTTGCCAGCTTAGGTGTGCCTAGCAGAGCCATTCCCATCACACATCCTGTGAGCAGACCCTTTGCCACAGGTCTAGCACTTACCCTCGCCTTGGGGGGTCAGCTGCTGGGGAGCTGTGCCTGGGAGCAGGGCTTGGGTGCCCAGCTGGGAGGGTGCTTGGCAGCTTGCTCTGCTCCATCTGGATCTGATGCCTGGGTAAGCCCTGGAGGGAATTGTTTCTGAAGAGAGCTCCCTCAGAAAGATGGCAGGCATCGGCTTAGTGACTGCCTCGCTGGGGGTGTGTTGTTGGTTATCATTAAAAAGTATTGTTTCCATTTGAATATCTGAAACCAGTTTCCTGTTGGTAGGTTTTGTTATGTCTTTGTTAAATTTAAAAGCTCCCAGAATCAGATATCTGCTTCTGTGCAATGACAGCCACTTCTGAAACTCCACTTCGATAAGAAGAAAGAGGAGCTGGGTTGCTTTTGTCTCACAGGAAGGGCTGCTGGCCTTGCCATGGAGCAGCCTGTAACCTCTTTAAACCCTTTGAAGGTTTTAGACCTTGTTTTGGAGTGCAGAGGCAGTGCTCCTGTCCAAGTCCTGGCAGTGCTGCATGTGGGCAAAGGCCTGTTCCTCTTTTCCTTCCTTACTCCTCCTTCCACATGCACAGCTGGCCAGCTTGCTCTTGCATCCCTGGAGGCTGGCTGGGGCTGAGCAGTCATCCCCAGCAGTTCTTGAGGTTGTTATCCTGCCACAGGTAATTACAGACAAGCCTTCTTTCTGTCTCAGTGTGGGCTGGACTGCAGTGGTAAAGACACTGCAGGGAACAGTCTCCCCAGATGGTTTTATTTCTATGTTGGAAGCAGATACTCCAGAGAGGGTTTGGCAGAGCCATCAGCAGGTGCTTGTCTGTGTGCTGTAGGAGGTTCGCGCAAAGCCCTTCTGTAAACTGTAGGCTTGATTTTTCAGATATTAATATTTTGTTATTAGACTATATGAAATGCTGATGGTAGCAGATACTCTGTGTTGCTTTAGGGAAAAGCAAAGATTTCAGACGTTTTTCCACTGAAACTTTCATTTCTCACTAAACCACTATTTTCCCACCAGAAAAATCACAAGGCAGCTCAGCCTCCTTTATTTTTGCCTCTGCCCCCAACCTCTCCAAAATATTCACCAGAAGATTGTTCCAAGTTGTCAAATCTGGTTTTTAACTCTCTAATAAATAATTATTTATTAACTCCATAATAAATGGCTTCAGAATAATGCTTATCTACCAGCTTCTCCTCTGTCCTCATCCATTCTCTACTGTGCTCCTTAGAGATAGGAAGAGGGGAAGCAAGAGCAAGGCTATCTATTGGGTTTGCTTCTGTGCCCTGGGAGTGCTCAGTGGAGATGTAGCCCTGCTGTTTTGCAGGTGGCCGATGGCTCGCACCAGAGGTTTGGTGCTTCAGGGGTGTTAGCAGGTTTTCTCCTTTCTGATGTGTTGGAGGTTCATCTGTATGAACCCCTCCTGCCCTGCAAAATGTCTCAGCTGGACTCCCTGGCTTTTCCTCATGCCTTTGAGCAAGGGAAGTGCGAGAGCGGGGGCTGGACTCCCATCACAGGCAGCAGACGTCACACGGTGTGGTGGCCCTTGGTCTGCAAGGACCATCCATCATGAGAGGAGGGAGGCAAGGTGTGTGTCTGTCCCTAAGCCAGGGACATGGAGCAGAGCTTGGCGACCCTTCTGGAGCTGCAACAGGCACTGCACACAGCCCTGGGAGTCATCCTGGGGGTCAGCAGCTGCAGTTCAGAAAACTCTTGATATTGAAAACTCTTGGTGCTGAAAAAAGGGGAAAAAAAGCCCTTGGGGCAAAAAAATCAAGTATTTACTCTCCTGCCTAAAACCAACTTGTACATGCTGATGCAGTGAGTCATAAATCATGTTGGCATCGAGGCAAACAGCCCTGTCCTTGCTCCAGGGCAGCAGGGCCCTTTGTGGCATACCGCAGCGTGGGCTGGCTGCACGTGGCACTGCTCCCTGTGCTCCTGCTGCTGTGTCTGTGCTGGCTGGCTGCCGCTTGCCAGCTGCCCCTGTCTCACATCTGCCTGTGGCTGTGGACCCTTGCCAGGGTGGCTGGGGTACAAGGCCCCGCATGGGGCAGCCTGTACCCCCCTCGGTGTCTGCCTTGCTGAGGTACAGTTCCCTTTGCAGACCCACATTTGAATGGCAAGGGGGTACCACCGCTTGTCCCCACGTCCCCATGCACGGCTGAGCCGTACATCCTGGGGCTGTTCGTACGCTGGCTGTGTTATCCCTCCACTTCAGCTTTCTCAGTTTCACTCCTGCAGGCTGCAAAAGCCAGCGATGCTGACGCAGTCAAGCAGACCTTGCGCTGTACCCGAGCACAGGCATCCTGTTTCCAAAACAGTCAGTGCAATGCCGTAGTCTTCAGCATCCTTGTTCCCAAGAGAAAAACATGGAGAGCTTGAGAGGCAGGGCAGAAGGGGAGACAACAGGAGGGTGGGAATATTCCCCCCCCCCCCCCCTTTTTTTTTAAATGAGAAAAAAGCCAATTTGGGAATCCAACAGGAAGGAATGGTAGAACCCAGTCTCCAAATCCCAAGAGGCTTTGAGGACACCCTTTGTTCAGCCAGCTGGGTGCAGGGAGCAGTGTGTGGTTGTGCAGCAGCTCCTGTGTTTTCCTGGCACCATGAGCCCCTTCCCCCTGAAGGGTATGGGGATGGCCGGTGTCATGGTTTAACCCCAGCCAGCAACTAAGCACCACGCAGCCGCTTGCTCACCCCCCCCCCCCCATCCAGTGGGATGGGGGAGAAAATCGGGAAAAGAAGCAAAACCTGTGGGTTGAGATAAGAATGGTTTAATAGAACAGAAAAGAAGAAACTAATAATGATAATAATACCACTAATAAAATGACAACAGCAATAATAAAAAGATTGGAATGTACAAATGATGCGCAGTGCAATTGCTCACCACCCGCCGACTGACACCCAGCTAGCCCCTGAGCGGCCATTCCCTGCCCCTACTTCCTGGTTTATATACTAGATGTGACGTCCCATGGTATGGAATACCCTGTTGGCCAGTTTGGGTCAGGTGCCCTGGCTGTGTCCTGTGCCAACTTCTTGTGCCCCTCCAGCTTTCTCGCTGGCTGGGCATGAGAAGCTGAAAAAATCCTTGACTTTAGTCTAAACACTACTTAGCAACAACTGAAAACATCAGTGTTATCAACATTCTTCGCATACTGAACTCAAAACATAGCACTGTACCAGCTACTAGGAAGACAGTTAACTCTATCCCAGCTGAAACCAGGCCAGCCGGGAAGCCCATCACCACTGCCAAGGCTTCACACACCTCCCCCCTGGCCCCAGAACAGCTCTCCTGCCTTTTCCTGGAGCTTTCTGGTAAAAAAACAACATGCAGGGCTTGATTTAGGTGGTGGTGGTTTTTTCAGATGAGCTTTTGGATAAGATCCCTTGGGCCAGCCTCATGCAGTGGGTGCAGCCAGTGCCAGAGGGACATGTCGGTGCCTGTCGGGGCAGCTGCACCCTCTGGCCTCGCGTGCTCCCTGAGGTTTTGTGGGCTCCAGCTCCCCTTGCCCCACTTGGACAGCGATGGGGGTGATTTGCATTATTTGAGTCTTCAGGACGCCCACAGGTGGAAAAAAAACCAAAAGAGACAAACACCCAGTAGCGTGCACACACAGATACATAAACCACCTGAGCACAGCCCAGCCACAGTCGCTGGCTGTTGGTGACAAATGGCCACCGTGCTCATGCTGGGAGCTGCCACTGTGAAGGCCTTGCTTTTTGCAGCCTGTTCCTCAGCCTGGCTATTCCCTGCTGCGTGGTGGGTGTTACAGCTCACCCCAGTCACCTATTTCCAGTTCCCAAGTGTGCGAGTAGTGGATGTATTTGTGGCTTTGGCATTGTAGAGAACAAGTCTATATCCTGGGTCATCTAAACTGGCTTCCTCCACCACAATGCTCAAGGGAGGTGCTGGCCCCTGCACACAGCTGATCCCATTAAAACTAAACTTCTGCATCTGCAACCAAAAAAACCAAGCAAGCAAGCAAGCAAAGGCTGAAGAGCATCGTTAATACAGAGCAGCCACAGCCATCTGGAGATCACACCTTTAAACAGCCAGTGACCCACCTGGTAAGCAGCCAGTGGGGCTGGCTTATACCTAATGGCATCTGCAGTGATGCCAAGGGACAAACCCCCAGTCTGGGGGCTGTTTGGGGCCCATCGAGGTCAGCTCTGTCTCTCTCACCTCAGAAAGGTATCAGCATCGCTGGCATCAACCCCTTATGCCTGTCTTGCCCTTATGTGCTGCGGTCACCCAAGGAGCCCCTCAGCTGGTGGCTGCTTCTTCACCCTGTGTGCCGCCAGGTTTAAGCAGCCTGAGCTCGCCTCGCCATCGCACTGGGCGAACTCTGAGAGGTGCCTTTTGCAAGCTTGCCAGCTTTGATGGTATAGGGGCTGCTGAGTGGTGGCACTGACCATGTAGCACACAGTGACATGCCCCATCTTGCAGAAATGACACAAAGGCAAGAGCAGCCTCCTAAAGAGGTGCAGACACCCTCCTGGCCTGTGTCCTCCCTCATTCACCCTGGCAAGCCCTTGCTC